TCTACTCGGAGTAGCTCGCCTCGATTGACCTCTTCCCTGATGGTCTCCGGCACACTCCTTTCCTCCACCACTGTCGCCGTCCTAACTGCAGCACTTCCCGTCCAACCCCCCTTGCAAGAGATAACCTGCGATGGACTAATAGCCACTTCATCTCTCAACGACGTTACGATCTCCCAGGACTCAGAGTCGACTTCCCCCCAAGGTAGGACCGGTTGGAAGATGACCCTCTCTAGAGGGCGGCCCGACAGGAGTCCACGGAATTGAATCTCCTCAACGAACTCGCGTTGGGAGTTGGCCTCAACTACACACACGTGCTTGGAGAAGTCCTCCGGCGATATGCGGAAGTGTACGAGCTGGTCTCTCAATAGCGACCACAGACCATCGCCTTCTCTCGGCATCCATGATAGTAAGGATCCGGAGAATCCCTCAGCAAGCAGATAAGGGGCAATCGAGTGACCTACTCCAGTGAGATCAAGCACCAGGCCTCCTTTCGAGAGGTCTCCGGATCGATACCCACAGTATCCCCTTTTCCGAATACTACTAGCAGTCATAATATCAAACTCAGACGCCTCAGTAGCATCCATAGCATACGAGCCATCAAACTCCACAGTCAACTTAGACTCCTCATACGCCACCCTTACTCTGATAGTCTCCCCCTCCTCCACCCTCCTACGAGGGCATGGGAACACCGCATAGTCCCAGTCGCAGTCCTTGACACTATTAATTCTGATATCGCCATACAAGGTCGCTTCCCACCACACCAGCACGCATGCACACTCCCCTCCTTCCCTAACCTCCACCTCTCTAACTCCAAGCCCCTCGACCTGCCCACTGCCGAAATCAGCTGAGCACACTCTGAAGGTATTCGTCAACTCCCTGTACTGGAATCCACGCCGACCATGTATGCTCCCATACCCATCCTCCAGACGAACATTCTCCCCCACATAGAGGTTCATTTCTCGTATAACCGCAGACTCAACAACACAGCCATACACTGTACCACGCTCCGGTATCACCAGCGCTTCCTTCTTCACCTGTCCCCGCCTCCTCAGATCCCTCACGACATCCAGCAGCCCTTCCCCCAACAATGCACAGTCCATCAGCTCAGCCACGACCATATCCGCTGGTGCCTCCAACACCAAGTCAGCCGAGTCTGCCTGTATAACCTTCACTCGAGGACCGCAGGCTCGCCCCGCCACCTCACAAAGCGCCCAACTGCAGTCGCATGCAGTGATCTCAGTTCCCTTTGGAGCACACTCCGCTAGGTAGTAGCTGAGAATTCCAGTACCACAACCCACATCGATCACTCTATCGATTTGGCCTTCCCTATCCCGCATCGCCTCTGCTATCGCCTTCTTGTAGGCCACATTTCTAGCACCATCATTCAGCATTCGAACGTGCCACTCGTTCACGCTCTCCTCATGGAGCCGCTCCCGGACCTGCCGTAACCTAACCCGCACAGGTTCGAACCGCGCCTCCGACATTTCTTCCAAAACTAGCAGCCTCTTCCACCCTTCCGAATACTTCCCCTCAGCGCACAACCCCACAATGGACTCCACTTCCCACGAGAAGGCTTCAAGCCGCTCCACCATACGAATAAAACTACTACTGCATCTGACCATAGGGAACGATAAGGATGCTATGGCCGAGCACACTAGCGACCTCGATAGCTACAGGCAAGCATCGCAGCCCTGCTCCATAACAAACTCACCTATCAGCTCTACCCTCAACCCCACTCAACACGAAAACCTACCGCAGCTCCCCGTTATTGTAACAACCCTCCAACAAGACAAGCTGTGGGGACTAGAAAGGATATCAGATACGATTCTGATGACGATTATGATGATGATGATGAACTACGTCTTCAGCACTACTCCGCATACACTCCAGGATGCTCCTACCAACAGTACTAGTCGCCTTACCCCCACACCATCACTGCTACTACTGGTCTATCCTCTTCTTCTCCAACCTCCATCACCTCCACTTCCTCCTCCTCCTCAGCCACCACCTGTTGCTTCCCTTCCCCATCAGCAACTTGTCCAACAGGCTGTTCATCATCCTCTGGGACCTGACTTGACCGTCGCCACCCATACCCGCCTCACATCCCTACCTCGGCGCCAATCACTGCACCAGCACCAGGAGGAAGAGGCTGCATTGGCTCCGTCACCTTAGCCGCTGCATCCGCTGTCTCGTTAGCTAGATAGGAACTGAAAACAGTCAATCACATGAAGTACGTCCTGCCATAGCAGCCCTTTCGGCCGTTCAGCCCTACAGAGGCGCTGATGAGAGCTTTATAACGCGACACTCCCAGAGTCTTCCATGCCTCAAAATTTGTCGCGCGCCACGAAATTCTGCTACTATTACTACCATTTAAAAGGGAATTTAGTCGATTGCTTAACGAACTCTTCAGCAGCCCATCGGCTCTCGAAGCGCACAATACAGCTATCCTCCCTCCATATGAAGTCCCGAACACCCTTTACATCCAGGACCTACGTACCACGTGAAAACTCATACCATTTCTCCCCCAACTTACCCTGAAATATTCCATGACCACTGGAACCGAATCGAAGTCCGAGTCCATCTCCTCCAACAGCACTGCTCTCGGCCGATTATCCAACGTCATTCGATCTTGGGACTAAAACGCGTTGAGGAAATGCAAGATTCGCAAGATTAGCAAGTCAGCACCACCTCCTTGGACTGATTCTTCTGAAGTGCTTGCATACCCGCATACCGTGCCCGAATCGCTGCATCTCGAGCCTACGGAAGCTCGAAAAATGTCTCTACCAAGATTCGATCCCGGGGCCTCCCCCTGATACCTTAGCCTTCTCCGCTTTCTCCTTCTGCATATCTTCCGATAGTGCATGCATCTGTTCCTTCACCTTCTCTGAAGCAACACATGACTGCCAATTAACCGGCCAAAAATAGCCTCCCTAGGATTCGAACCCACGACCTCCACTCACCTAGCATCTTCTTATACATTTCCTTCTGAGTCTCTGATGTCCTAACACAAATGACTCCCTCAAGACCGCCATCTCGATACGCTTATTTTAGGACCAAATCTAACTCGGTGAATCAAACTACCCAACAACAACAACAACAACAACAACAACAACAACAACAACAACAACAACAACAACAACAACAACAACAATAACAATAACAATAACAACAATAACAATAATAACAACAACAACGACAACAACAAGCTGCCACCCTGTACTACTTTTCATCCGTTAACTTCGAGAGTAGCTGCTTGACAGTCTCCGACATCCTCGATAACACCGCCACACGTTGCATCTCCTGTGCTTGCTTCGCCTCCCTCGCCTACCCATTACCATCTCAAACCCTAATCATCCCAACACCACCACCTACCGCTCGTTGGTGCTGATGCTCAGCGTTTTCCAATACTAAATTACCTGCGTGTCGAGGTTGCTGCTGTTGTTGTCGGAAACCTGCGCCAATATAAACTCAACCCACCCTACCAGCATCGTCCTCTACTACTACTACTACCCTTTCCTCCACCCTCACGATACCCTCCTCCTCCTCGTCCACCTGGCCTTCCACCTCCCGGAGATGAAGCAACTGTCAGTCACCACTCTCAAATTCATCTAAGATGCATTTATGCCTACTTGCGGCTCCTCCCATTTGAGGCATCGCTGACGGTGATCCAGCCGGTAGGTTCGTCACTTGCCACTTTACCTAACCCAGGTTCGAATCCCAGCAACTACACTTCTCCCATCTCTCCCCACCTGTATCTCAGGATGACCCAAAACGGGCTCTGCCATCATCGCTATTGCCGACTGCCGATTGCTGACATACCACACCAATGACAATTCCCAACTCCACCTCAACTAACAACTGTAGTATTACGTGAATTCCACCGTAGCATTGCCCTCCTCCAGCTTGCAGTGAACTCCACTCACTTCCCTAAAATCAACACATCACCACCACCTATCCTTCCTTCCCGCCTCACCCGTATTTCTGACAATGCTGGAATAAAGCCGGTAAAGATACATCGGCAGGAATGTTACTAAGTATCTGACCAACACCACTCAACCAACCGTCACGCGCCACGAAATTACCCCTACCAGTGTGCTGGGTGGTGGTGCTCTCGGAGGAGGTGGTGGAGGCTGCTGGCCATACCCTCCTGCACCTGAGTGATGTCCACGTGGATCAATAGACACAATACTACTGCTACTACCAGCCACTGGTGGAGGTGGAGGGAACTGCGGTGGCAAGGGAGCATTCATTTGCCGAGGTTGGAACCTGCCACATACGACCATACCAATCCTACACTTCTCGACCCTCTTACGTTGGATTGCCAGGCTGCCCTGTTGGGAGCTGCTGACCCCAGGCCTGCTGTCCAGCGTATCTACCAGACGCAGCGAAATGGGCAAGCACCGTCTCCGCCCTGAAATCTTCGTACTGCGCACTCCCCCAAGCTGCTGTAGCTGTGGTCGGTCCTGTGGAAGGTACCCCTCCCCCAAAGGCCGCAGTAAGATCATCGTCATCGTCTCCGTACCTACACCCTGCATCCCACCTTTTCTCCTCAACACTCCTCCCTACCCAAATTGAGCTGCCATGTCATCATCATTGAAGCCATCCTGTTTCGGCGGTGGAGGCTTAGCCGGATGGAACCGTTGCCACCACGGAGTGTTGTCCTCCGCCTTAGTCGAACCTAGGCGTGCATAGACTCCCCATCAGCAGTATTAGCCTCCCTCCTTTTCTACCTTCCTTCTCTTGACTAGTCCCCTCAGGGCCACTGGTTGGGGAATCGTCCCCATACCCCAGAGGATCCTCATCATCACTAACGCCACTATTTCCCATCTGATTGTACGGGAATGGCAGCTCTCCGTCAGACCTGAGCGGCTCGATCTCTCCACTACCACCACCACCGTCCCCTCCCTATCCTACCCATCATCAACAGGAGGCAACTCCTCTTGAGGAGCCGGAGGAGGAGGAGAGGCCGTCTTGTCCTGTGATCGAGACCGTGACCTACTTGCCATCCGGCCTCTATGGCTTTCACCACCTACCCAACGATGAACTGTTGGACGCCTTCCTCCCCACAACAACTACCTCTCCTGCCTCGGTCATCCCTATGACGATCCTCTTGATAATAGGAGTCTCTATTGCTGCCTCTAGTGCCTCTCGACCTCCCTCTAGGAGATGGACTCCTGTAGTGACGATCTCTTCGTGAGGTCCCTCGGGTTGGCATTAGCTCGGGAGGTAATGCTGATCACTGCATTATACCACAACAACGCAAGTCAGTTTCTTTCCAGGACACGTATCGTCATCCCTATACTTCACCTCTGCCAGAGTCTCCCTCTCCACTATTCACACCAGCTGGCATGACCATCTGCTCCGACTTTCTAGACGTGGCAGATTGTTACTTATGAAGACCACCATATATCTTCCAATTTCCTCAGAGATCATCACAGCCCTAACATGGACGGGGACGGGAAGCAAACTGCCGAGTGAATTGATAAGGCTTAGGTCCATCCATCATTACGGCGAGGACCCTTCCCTCCCTCCTGCGTTCACTATATTCAATTCTTCTCTGTCCCCACTTATCACAAGACTTACCGACGAGGAGTTCCGATGCAAGTCCGAGGCGTCGTCATTGAATCAACGTCATCACCACAGTCCGACGTTTACTCTTCAACTCGTGTTGTTGATGAAAATAATTTCCACTTGCAAACTTACCCTTTCTTGTCATTCCTCAATGATCTCAACCATGGAACTTCTCCTCGAGTATTGGAATATGAACACGCTAAACCAACCACAGAGCAGGACAGGATTACAGAAGACTGAGATCCTCCATAATACTCCCTTCATGCAATGGAGAAGACGCATGTGTGGAAAATACTGGGAAAAGGGCGGATGCGTTACCGCGCCGTCTCCTTTGCCTCGCAGGGTCGCCGATAAACGTTTCAATGCGACTTGCCTCAGCCATTACCGTGTTAACACTATGGGCATTATAGAAACAATCTTCCTCCTCTTCTGCCTCCTCCTCAACGGTATTGGCCTCCTACGAGTACTCCCTACCCTTCTCTTCGGGCTACTCGTATCCTACGGTATGTGCATCACCACTCCTACCCTACCCTACCTCTACTGTAGGTGCTTGGCTGAGCATACCATCACGGACATCACCATTCACTAGAGCAGCAGCAGTCACGACCATTGTTTGTGCAACTGCTACGGCTATTATTTATTACCACTGCGGGTAAGGAGGAAGAGGAGACCTCCCATGACTGCTTCTCGCCCTCCTCAGAGCCCTTGCTATGGTCGTCTGCCTTTCCTCCTGGTTACTAACTCAACTGGCCTTGATCCCCGCCCAGGTGAGCATCTACCGTACCGGCACATCACGCTTATCCTCCTCAGTTTACCACAGCCGTTATTCCCGGGCTTCTCGCCTTCGTCCTTCCCCACGCTCCCTTCGGCCTCCTCTGGCTTTTCCATCCAATAGGTCATCTCTGCTTCCAATGTACCCATCATCACTACCCCTACCTCTACCCAGCCCCTCTCCCTCCTCACAGGCACGGTACTCTTCCTTCTCCCTACAAGAACTTTCTGTTGGTCGAATGAGCGAAGGTCGCCGCCATTCACGATGCCTCAGAGGCAACCCCATATCTTGGTAACAACCGCACCCCCCACCAGTGTGCCTCCAATGCTAATCAGGTCTGCCTAGCCTTTTCTATCTGGTCTGAATTCTCTACCCTCTGCCCAGCTATGGCAGTCTCCCTGGTCGGCATTTTACTAAGGTGCAAACACAACTCTCTCCTTTGTCGATCCTGGTAGCCCGTCCTCTCAGTCGTTCAAACGGCAACTACAGGACCAGCAACAACCAGAGCGCATGGCCATCCACTGTCACTGGTGTATCGTCTGATCGCAACCAAGGCACCACCTTTATAGTTTTCGTAAGTACTACTCCTTCACATTCCCGTCAATGACACTACTACTAGGTCCATGGCTTGGACTTCAACGACAGCCAGTGGATAGCAGGTCGCATACTCCTGCCTCGTCTCCTCCATTCTATTCAGAGGAGGTCTCCATCATTCCTACAGTAATCTCCTCTACTACCCCCCTCAGGATCCACACCAGTGCTATCAACTTGCATACGGGAGGTTGGCTGGAGAACGATCATAAAGCTGATGAAACTGTCGATGGTTATATGACCATCCTCCATAAGCACCTTCGAGACCTTGGTGGTGATGCTAAGCTTGATAACATCGTAGGGGGGGGTCTTCGTCGATCTCTCTAGGGATTCTCAATTCGTAGGTCCTAATCGGCCATAGCCTCGGTGGCTTGATATGTGAGGACTACTGCCGATCTCGACGTTGTGCCATGCTAGCCCAGGATCGCAATGCAGAGCCTGGTACGAGTTGGGCTTGGTGTGGTATTGATCGCTGCCGCTTAGTCCCGATTGGAGGAGTCGTCTGTATCTGTTCTCCCTTCGACGGGGCCAAGGTTGTGTCTCTTATCCCACCAGAGCTCCGTCACGGCGTAGGGCCTCTTCACCCCCTTCACGGACAGCTCTCGATCAGATCCATCTATCCTTGCATCGGAAGCACAGTACACTACTACGAGACATCCATGATGACCACCAACGTAGGGAAGCTATCGCGAGGCCGCTAGAGTGATGCATGGGCGCCTAGGTACCAGCAGCAAACAGAGAAGAGAGGACTGCAGTATCTCCCCTTCTCCCGTGCCGAGATCCCCAACCAGGTAGTCTAAAGCGACCATCATATCCGATATCATTCATGGTAGCGTTTTCTCTCCTAAACGAGAGTATACCAACGCGGCGTTGTTGTTCGTGTGGATTCGGCATCTATTGTGCATGGCCATCTGGGGAGAGGACTGGAAGGAGGAGTAGTACTCTACGTGAGGTTGTCATTGAGTAGAAAGAATTGCTATCAGACATCCGCCTATACCAGGCGAGGACAAATTGGCTGAGCTCAGCTTACCCCTTACCACAACCGAGATGTCCGAGAGTGATATTAAAATGCGGACAGGTCATCATTTCCTGGAGATGTATTTTTTCTATCTGGGACGCAGATACGGTTACAGGCTTTACCCCTAACGATGGTCATCCGACTGGACTTGCCATGTCCTTCCATAGAATGCACATGCACGCCGTTTGGGATGCCTTCTCGGGGACTAGACTGCGCAAGGTCTTGGATTCAGCAGGCGAAGGTAGTAGGGAAGACCTACTCTCCGTGGTTCAATGGGAATGCTGCTCTTAGGAGATGCTGAGAGCAGTACTCGACAGCCTCTGAAAACTAGAGTCACGGTTTCTACCAGTGGCAAACTGACGGATGGTAGGCACGGCTGGAGCTTCTGATCATCATCATCCTGAGATGGCTTCAGATGATGATTGTTCGGGGTCGTCGAGTGCCATAGTCCCACCGCGGCACTTCTCCACCTTCTCGGACGTGTGTCTGTGGCACTGTGGTCATTACAGTGCCGTCATCAGTACCACGACGTGGATGCATATAGCGGAGTTTATCAGAGTTTATATCATTGAAGGGAAGGGCAGTATAGTGTACACTTACGGCTGTCAACATTATTTTGCTTATTAAACGTATTTATATACCGCACCATGATCATATCTTGCTACCATACGCATGTTGTCGAGCTCGTGCACTGTTGTGTTGATTCCCAGTTGGATGCGTTATGGCTGTAGAAGGCCTGGATCACCACCACAATGTGAATGGTCACACTGAGGACTTCAAATACTTCATCGAAACTCCTCCGACCAAGAATAACATATCAACGAAGTCAATCTTTAGAAAATGTAGGCAGGAAGCAGCCTTGCACAAAGCATCAGTGCTGCTTCGGTTTGGGGGAGGGGGTCTAGGAGTCTGCCGAGGCTACGGCTTGTGATCCTCCCACTTCGACGGGTCATGCACTCGATCCGAGTATTGTTGATCAACAGGGGCAGACCGTCTCTTAAGGCTGGGAATACCGGTAAAGGCCGTACTGGGATACTCGAGGAGAGTGGTCAGGCTCAGCTTGGGTCCTGCTGGTACGGTCACGGGGTAAGTGCACATTTGTCTGTCGGGAAGCCAACTGTTTCACGACGGCAATCCACATCATAGAGCAGCTGTGATAATTTCACGGTTAGATCATTTACGCTGTCAGTCTGTGATTTTGGCGCAGGAGCGAATGTCGATGATAGCTCAAACGGATTCTGCAAGGCCCACTGACCCGAAATGCTGGGGTGCCTACGATGGAGGTTCCGAGAATAACCTCGAGGGTCGTTGCTATCAGAGCTCGAGTCGACGAGAGTCTTGGTTGAGCCTATCTGATGATACGGTGGTGTTGTGTTGGTGGTGACGTGGATCACCACACAGGTAGTTGAACAAGGCTAATGACTTCAGCCCATCCAGCAGCGAGTGGCATCGTAGGCTACCGATTTCCGCCTGAGATCCAACAGTTTCTCGATGACAACCACATCCCGTTATGGATTTATGGTAAGCTGCACTGAGAGCTCTACCGTAGAGTCCACAGGAATGACCATAGTGGGCTCAAAGCAGGAGGCTTTCAAGTTTGGAGCAAGGCCGACTCTCGCCTCTCAGACCCCTCCCGCCAGCCCACTGTGAGGACTGTTCGACAACGCTTCGATGAGGCTAATATAGAGAAAGAGCTCTTGGAGGGAATACTGCAGGCTCGAGATCTTCCTGCGGCTGAGAGTGAGTTGTTTATCGATCACGGCATCACTTGTCGAGTTCCTTCGGACGGTCATGATTCTCAGTAGGTATTCAAGAGGAGCCCCTCAGGGTCACTCCCATAGAGTGGCTAGAGCCCCTCACCGCAGCCCGTTTCGGACCCAGCCCTAAGTTCTACTCGATACCCACGGCTACACAGATGAGTAGACTGAACTTATACAAAGGAGGTAGCCTAACACAAGCCTTCGCGTCGACCTAATGGCATCACTCCTAGGTCGCCTCTTTGGTCTCGACGTTTCTAGCGCCAGTGCAGTATTTGCCCTTCTGGGAGAGTCCGGTCCCGAGGCAGGTTCGGCCGTGCTCGACCTCTGCTGCGCCCCCGGGACCAAGTTGCTCATGCTGTCGGAATTGTGTCCGGGAAGCCGGGTGGCAGGTATTGATGTGAGTCGCGACCGGCTCATGGTGTGCCGTAGTCTGCTCACCAAGTACGGTGCTCACAATGTTGAGCTCTACCACGGCGATGGTCGGTATGTCTGCAGTAGGCCCATGGAACGGCTAACTGTAGCGAAGAGAAAATCACGAGGACGCAAGCGGCAGCGCCGAGGCTCTCCTGAAGACCCGCCGCCATCCTCGACAACACTCGAGGCGGAAAGCTGGGACTTGGTCTTGTGCGATGCAGAGTGCACCCATGACGGGAGTGTCAAGCACATGCTGAAGCACTTAGAGGCTTCGAGTCGGGACAGTTCTGGCGTGGTTGGTTTCTGGCAACAGCAGAGTGAACGCAGCCACCCGATGCCTTGGCTGGACAACCTCGACGAGTTGGAGTCTCTGCAACGTGCCCTCATAACAGCGGCTTTCGATGCCCTAAAGCCTGGTGGATGTATGGTGTATTCAACTTGCAGTATGGCAAGGAGGCAAGATGAGAATATTGTAGAGTATCTATTGGTTCACAAGGATGCTGCTGCTCTCTGTCCACTCCCGTTCGAGCTTGCCAAGATGCCTTGTCGAGCTACTATGATGGACAACACCGGTGCTGCTTGTGCCTGTAGATTCGACCCCGCCGATGCCGATGTGGCCCGGGTCGATGCTGGTGGGCTGTTCATAGCCCGGATACGTAAGGCCCTCTGATTCCTCCATGTCGTCGTGGTGTTGCGTAGTGTAATAATCGTATAACCTCTGAGCAGCAGTAGACGAACTAATAGAACATCGTTATGGTTGATACAATACGTATGGGGCATCAGCACCGAGATTCTCATCTTCCCGTGACAGGATCAGACTGCATGTGTCACATCGCTCAGTAGTGAGCCAAGCCTTTGCCTATGTTGAATGTGTGTGGCAATGAATGATATGAGTCATCTTCAGGGAATTCCCGATTAAGGGAAGCTCACCCAAAGACTACTGGTGAACTCACGGACTAACGGTGTAGACTATAGACTGTGGCAGAGTTGCATCGCCATCGACTAACCTAACCCAACACTCCTGGTGATCACGTGTTGGTGAGCCAGCCCAAAGATGGAGAGTTAACCGAGTAGTGGTACCACTGACTGTGTTCAACCCCTATCTGGAGCCCATACCTGCAGTTTCTCGAATTCTATACTAGGACTACTAGATATACGACCACGCAACACCGCCACAGGAAGGGTCTTGCATGGCGAACACTGACGGTGGAGAGTTCAGTTATCCCCACAACTGCATATCGTCTAGGGCCGTCTACAGTAGTGAGTAGTACACACTACTGGTATCTCCCCATGCCCTCGATGAGGCTTTGACTCCAACGCGATGCTCTAAACCACATAAATAGAGACAGATTACTAATAATACGGAAATGAAGATGAGCCTCGAAGATGACAAGAATACTGCTGGAAGGATGCTATGCCTCTAACGCTCCCGGGCAACAGTGGTCCTGTCTCGACCTGCCTCGTGTTGTTGCTCTTGGGATATTCTAACCAAGTCGACCAACTGCCGAGTACGATTGCTATTAGCGATCCATTCTCGGAAGTAGCCTTCCATGAGCTCTGACACTTGCTGCCGTCGCCCACTATCGCTGATTTCATCGAGTTGCTCGCAGACCTTCGCATGAGCCTTTCTCCGTTCCTCCTACCACACCATTTACACATCGTCCTTACCTGTACCCCCCGACCTCACCAGAGCCTCATAGTAAACCTCAGGCAAAGATAATTTCCCTACGCAGTCCTCTCCAATTTGATCTCCTTCATACGAAGCTTTCCGAGGCTCGGGGAAACTAATCGTGCTGAAGCTCTCTGGTGCCATCTGATGACAACAAGACCATTGAAAAGAAGGTTTCACACTAGTCCAGTGTTGGAATATATACTCGTTCGCCTCAGCTGAGCTCGGGAGTTTCCTCACTAATAATAGAGATTCATATACAAATTTGGGTAAGAGTGTTCCGAAATCAACAACAGTCTCGAAATTTCCTAAAATTTTCCATATTGTCACCGACATATGTAGCTGACCATGTGCATATTTTCCCACACTGCACCAGGCCTCACGAGATAGTATCCTTGGGTGAGTTTATCCGAACTAGTGGAAGCCGTCGAAGTCCTATTCGATGTAGTGCTAGCCGACGAGGCACGCTCTCCTCCTCCTCCTCCTTCTGGCATGAGAGGACACCATGCTGGATGGGCCCACACACCAGCCTGACCAAGGAGGGCATCACCAATGAGCTTACTATTGCCTCGACTCACAGCATGCCGATTCGGCGCTTCCCTAGCAGTGCCTAGCATATCCAACATCCCTACTGAACCAAGCAAGGCCGCACTCCCACTATACAACACATTGAAGGGCGCCAACTTGATTCCTCGACAGTCGCCTGTTATGACGGGTGGATTCTGAAACATGGAAAGATGAAGACAGGCCCACTGAGCACAGCGTCAACTTACCCTGGTCAATGTATACAAGTTGACATCCACTCCGCTCTCCAACCTGAACATGAACAAGACAATTTAATCAAGCCTCATACCGTAAATCCGTCACCTTATAGCATTGGTGAGTGTATGAACATTACATCGCTCACAGTTAGCTATAGACACTTGACATGTACAGCAACATAGCACTATGTCACAGTCGACGCATCCCACCACTGCAGCGAACCTAGCTGGACCTACTCCAGAAGGAACTGGCCACTACAGTCTACTACAGTGTCCTCACCAGAGAGGTAAATGCTGGTCTCGCTGCAGTTGGAGATGTACACCAAGTCCGTCGGCGGACTACCTCGAGTGGTGTCACGAAGCACAGTGGTTCTGGTCAAGCCCGAGAGGGTCAACGACCGATATCTACAACATTAACACATGCCGTGGAAATGCAGCAGTAGACTCACCCGACGGCGCAAGAAGGGGGACTCTCAGTATTTATGGGCCCGGACTTGTTGGTGCCCAGTGTTGGAGTATACACTACTTCGTTCCATACTAAATTGGATTCGATTAGCCCCTAAAACGATCAGCAACGCTACCAACAGTAGAATGCAACCCCTGGAGCCCATACCTGCAGTTTCTCGAATGCTATACTAGGACTACTAGATATACGACTACGCAAGGACGAGGCACCATTGAGGGCAAAGACTGCCTCGTGAAGGGTCTTGCATGGCGAGCCAAATGATGGACCACCAGCGATGAGAATACTGACAACAGCAGCAGCAGCAGGCATCCAGCCCAGACGTAGGGAGAGCCCGAATCGTCGTACCCTAATTTGTCCATAGCTTCTGAGGTGACCTTGTCAATCTTCACCTCTTTCTTAGGCGGCGAGGAGGTTGGTGACTGGGAACCGCTAGGGTCCTCATAGCATTGACATACTATCCGTAAAAGGCTAGCACAGTGCGTCCTGAGAACCAGAGGCGTCGGACCATAGGAATGAAGCCCTCGCCGAATGGGACCTTATGAAACCAACTGCCTGTTGGTTATCCCGTCCTATTCGGCCACCACTGAGCTGTGAGGACATGACCATAGATGCTCTAGGGGATTGCTGAGGACATGTCGAAGTGATCAGCCTCGAACGTATGCCAATCGTACTACCTGGGACTGGGAACGGGGAGAGTGTGCCGCTGTTGACACTGAAATAACACAGGCGTGGACCGAGCGTTATTTTCTGTCGGCTATTAAACGCAGTGAGAGGCGATTTTCCCCCTGACTACTACCGTCTGGGAGGGCCTGGACCCAGGATTCACCTGCAGCTGTACCCCTCCTAAAGGACTCCTGTCTAAGGTTGCGAGAATAAGGTAGGATCTAAGACAAGCTGTCTGTTCTTAGCAGCAGCGAGCCGGACACGCCTTTCCCTTGCCACTCTTCAAACGGCACCATTCGGCACCAAGAATGCGGGAAACGAACAATCACCAATTCGACATTTTTGTGTTGGTATCAACCAGCACGAGGTTGGTTGATCTAAACGCGCCCGGACCATCCTCACGTTTCGAGAACCTAGTCAGTGCTGCGCAACTGCTAGCCTAGTGGCAAGCTGTATAAACAGTAACGTTAAAAAGACTGCTGGGCATGCATCAGATCCAGCACTTTGAGATTAGACTACTTCGCGTCGTAGATGATGTTCTTTTATCGCGAAGTGGACTATTACTACTACCGATGATAGTAGTACTACCTGTAGGAATAGGAGTACACCAAGTACTCGTATGTCGCACCAGTCATTGGCCGGTGAGGATGCCGGAGTGTTGGTATTGGAAGATGGGAACACAGACCGACTCACATTCGAGAACACCGTCCAGTACCTACGACCACGACCATGATGGTTATGGCAATTGAAACCTGGGGCCGCTACGCCAGAGCCTCCGTCTGGGTAAGATGCGGAGTATGTTCACCAGGATCTCCACAGTAGTCCAAGAAGCGTGTCCGCAGTACTGCCGTGCCAGGGATCGACTTCCTACAGGGACCTTTCACGCTGAATGACCTAACCCCACACTGTACTTGAGGCCCTTTAAAAACTCCATAACGTCTCTAACGCTCCACCGCACTGTGGTGTGTACTGTGGCATGGTCGAAGACCTCACCTCGTGGCCATAACATATGCAATGACTAAATCAACAACCTGCCTAAGTCAACGATTCGGTCGGCCGTCAAGACGATCAATAACGACGACATAGCGCGGAATCGTCGGTCACCAACAGTGACAGGAGGTCGAGTTATCTCGCCACCACCGCTGTACACAGACCCCAGGGTGACCACTATAAAAGGAACAAGCGGCGTGTTCAATAGACATCTCCTTAGCGTCAACAGCGCTCCCAGGATTAGATTTCACATGTAAAACTCGATCCTGTGAGCGCTCTTGAAGTTGAGGAGAAGCCTATTGAACACCCCGAAGAACAAAAGTTGAATGTTGTCAAAACAGTAGCGCGCGCCCATAAATCCAAAAATAGGTGGTAGGAGTTGTGTCAATGGCCCATCTTCTGTCCAGCAGACGACGAATGATAATAGCAGGGTCACTCATAGTGGCTATAGGTAGTACCGGGGTAGAGTAGTCGTGGACTTACTGTCTCCATTGCTGGTCGTCATCATCATCGAATTATACTCGGTGGGGGGGTTCTATGAGTTTTGGCATAGTGAGAAGGGTATGTTAGGGAGGATTTTCTGGACGTCCGAGTGACGTCTACAGCAGTCAGTTTGATAATTCGCCCGAATTTCCAAGTATTTACCCACTTTTTTCCAAGAATTTAAACTTTTTACCGACTAGTTTGAATGAATTACCGAAAATTTCAATGAAAATATGGTCTTTTCGAAAAGGACCAACTTCAACTAACGACATCAGGAGTGAGTTATTGAAAATTTGTGCAAAAAATAAAGTGACGTGGAAATGCTGTAGTGTCGACGTAAGACACTTTGTGAAGGCTCCTCACACCATCGCCCGTAGAGTACATGTACCGCAGAAAGCCTACTCTGGCCCTGTAGGCATCCTCACAGTCATAGCCTTACTAGAGGTCACCACCAGTGATGGCAGTACTGAAGCGATCTATTCCCTAGCCAGGGGGACCCGTCCGGGTGGTGAAGGGCCCACGGTACCATAAGCAGGCATTCCTCTGGGCACCCCACTCGCCTCAGCTTGCCGCGCCTGCCCTCACAGAGGTGCAATCGCTTCGGGCTAGAGTCTTCGAGCTTGAAGGGGAACTTAGTAGTGGCCACAACGGTAGAGTCCCGGTCTTGGAAGGGGTCAGCGGCACACTCTTTAATGAGGATGTCAAACGCGAGTTTACTGGCTCGACACTCTTTCATAAGTGGAGACCTCACAAGGGGGAAATCAACAACCCTGTCTGTTCCGACAGGTCCTTGCCCGACGATACGGCATCGATAGAGGCCACAGACGGCTCGAAGTGCCGCGGTGGGGGGCCCTGTTGTAAGTTCATGGTGGTCATAGTCATCGCGCCCTGTTCAAGACTGCCCTGCCCTCTAGCGGGTGTTCAGTAAACTTATTCCCGGCCAGCTCATAATTGAATTCGACTTATCCGGAAACGAGATGCAAGCCTAACAATTAGCTCAACCACTCCTATAGGTTCCAACTGGATCGCCATCACCACAATATCGGATGATATACCCGATGGTGTTCGAGTGGCTGCAGACACTATGTTGACCACAGGGGAATGGTACTTAGCAGCTGCCTAGTTGAGCCCTCCTACCTCCCTACCAGGTGTATGGTAGTGGCTGGGGACAAGAAAGGACCTAAACAGCTCTGGCCTGAACTGAGGGAACATGCTGAGGCCTCAAGAGCCGTCTTCCTCAATGATGCGGATCAAGTGACCGTGGGGGGCGACTTTGCGGTGAGACGCTCCTCGTAGTAGTAGGCATGTCCAATGGTATCAGGAGAGGCTACCGTGGAAGCACTTTGGGCGGAAGAATGTGGCTTACCTGTAGAGTATCTTCGCTCACTGAAAGATCCGTAGTGGACCTCAAGATACGCCCTCATCCACGGAGCGAAGAAAGTTCTTGATCTAGACGATGACAATATCATATACGCCGATAGTGTACAAGAGATAACCAAGGGCGACTTCACGGGCCACTGTGGGGCCTCAACAGAAACAATAGGTTGCCCCGGGAAGCATACTGTCACTATTTCTGCCACTTCTACCGTGCCTAGTGTCTTCAACCCTTATAGTAATAAAGGTTCCGATCCATGGACAACACTAGTCCTCAACTAGGTACAGGTATGGTCCCTGGTCTCGACAATGCGGAGACTGTCCTTTGGCCCAGAGGTTACCCACTTAGTTATATCCGTCGGGACCGGGCAACCACCACAGCGAAGCCCTCTAGAACATTAGGTGGTCACTCGGTCGGTGTGTAAGGATGTTATACGGTCAGACACTTGGACACGGGAGATAGCCGTGGTCCAGACCCTGGCCGATAACGACCCTGATTTCGATGCGATATACCGCTTAACTCGTACGTCTCGGGCTTGGGTGCCTACCTTGAGACGGTGTTAGGGCCTCTGCCGGTGGATTTCCACCAGCTCCTGACATCGGCATTCCTCCTGGCTCCTCCAACCTTCACGCCTCTCAATGCACAGGCGTGTCTCTTCAAGGCGTACGATGCCCTATGGGGACTCTACCTCCCCGTCACTGTGAGCATCTATCCCTACTCTATCGTATGGTCACACCCCGAGCAGGTCCATGGACGTGTCAGCGACATATGGCGGAGCTTCGTAGGCGACTCACGTTACCGATCCCAAACAGGTTAGCTATCCCACAGGTCCTACAGAGGCTCCTATGGGACCTAGGGGCCTCGGTGGCAGTAGCTGGCCGCACCTGGGTCAGACAGCTTAGGAATTCACACGACTATCTCGCTGACTTCATCGCTGAAGACGATGTGATGATGGTCATCCTCGTCGTTGCTATGCAACTGTGGATAGGTGTACAAGAAGGCCGAGGCCATGATGAGGTTTTTGGTGGGATGGAGCCCAACTAGTGGTAACCCTTTCCTTGGGTGCAACTGCGCAGTCCTGGGTACTAGATAATGTGCCTGGACGCCTCGAGGAGGTGTACGTAGAACTGTATCGTCGAGGTTTCGTGGAAGAAGAAGAGGTGGACCTGCAGTTGTTCTGCTACTTCATCGTGGCGGCAAAGCTGAAGTTCATCAGGTCCACCATGTGCAGCGATGGATAGAGGCCCTCACTGGCCTTGGGTGAACTGTTGCTGCCGAGGGATGGAGCTCTCGAGGCCTGGTCTAGGTATCGATGGCCAACTGTTGTATCCCCCACTACTAGCTGGGCTGATGCCTCCAATATAGCTGGGCCCAAGGTCGCACTCCCTCGAGGGGTACCTGTTATAGGGGTCGATAATGGTGGGAGCATTCTGATGAGCTTGGTCCAAGGATGATAGCAGGCACCTGTAGACGAACAGTTCGTGTGTGGATAACAGGCATCAACGGCATGATAGGCTCCAACATCGCCAAGGCTTTGGTCGGCCCATGATAGCGGTAGGAGTAGTCTCTATGTCAGCTCTGGACACAGGTTAGACTATCTTACTCCGAGGACCCCACGAGGCCTCATTACACTGTGTTCGGGCTGGTGCGGTATCGGGCTAACCTTGGCAACCTTGCCGGCGTGTTGGAAGACGTCCACCTGACTTATGGCGATCTCAGTGATGCCCAGCGTATACGGAGTATCGTCCAAGGTGGGGTTCCTTGGCCCATGAGGAGGAAATGGTCCATCCCTAGAGGTCCGGCCGCATCTAGTGTTTCACTTTGCTGCCCAAGGAATCAATGGGGTATCCTTCCAGTCTGAGTCCCTCACCTATCAGGCCAATGTAACCTCGACAAAGCTCTGTCTATCAACAGCAATACGGGTCTTAGGTAGAAGGCACCTCTAATGTGATGCAGGCCCTTCGAGGTAGTGGGGCTCGGGTACTGGTGGCAAGCAGTAGCACGGTGTATGGAAGTACATAGTAGCAGGTATATGGTGGAGGGGCTGTAGACTCCGCATAGGTACCTCAGACAGTGTAGACTATATAGGCCGGCCTATTCCCGAGTCGGCACCGATGAGCCCGGTCTCCCCCTATGGTGTTAGCAAGGCGGCCACTGAGATGATGTGCTTACAGCAGTACAAAGCCCATGGTGATGAGGTATTGTCACTGGACGATCATCTCTTTATGTCCAGGCACTCACTGTGTGGCGGTCCGCTTGTTCATTCACGTGTCGCCTGGGGGGACTGAGGCCTTGGCCTTGCAGGAGTTCTGTCGTCAAGTTGCGATGATCGAAGGTGGCAAGCAGGAGCCGGTCATAAGGTTAGTGATAGCAGCCTGAGCTGATGGGGACGGGCATTTGTCAGGCATGGCGCTCTGAAGACTCGACGAGACACAACAGATGTCCGCGACTCGGCCGAGCAGTTTATCAAAGTACCACCTGTAGCATGTAGTTGACACTCGGTAGATCGGGCGTCTAGGTCTTGGAGAGCTCAGCCCCAGGAGAGGTCTATAATGTGGGTAGCTTCATGGGGGAGGCCACTGGGGAGGATGAGCACAATGGGGTTGGGCAATGTGGCCAAGGCTCGTCGTACCCTCCCCACTAGGTATTGTCAACTGAAGACCTCCTTAGTTTGGTGTTGGAGGAGTCCCCCATGGGGTCTCGGATCGAGCTGAGACAGGATGATAGTAGGATGAGGGCCTACGATGAGGCGGTCCTTATTGCTGACAACGCCAAGGTAGGAGAGCAATCGTGAGGATGACGAGGTTGAGGGCCTTGCTAGTTACGCAATCTCACCGGATGGACACCTGCCAATGATATTCGACAAACTGTCAAAGATGTCCTGAATTATTGGCGGAGCGAAGTTGCTCGACGATACCCAGATGCCGCGACTGACCACTGGCGATCCCCTACGAGGAGTGGCTAGCCAGGTTGGAGACTGTGTTCCATGGATGATCATTGATACCAAATCAGTCAATGGTGTTTCCAACACTCTCTTGTACTCTCGAGTTGTAGTCGGTCGGTGGCAGGCTCCTGGACACATGAAGGAGTAGAAAGCCACCTTGTGCCAATGCATCCAGCGTCAGGCCTCGACCAGCCTGCTCGTAGTAGATCCTCTCTAGGTTACAGGCTTCCTCTACCAAGGAGGTTCCAACTACTGTGAGGTCGAGCCAGAGGCTCTCGTTGGTGTGTATGTGGCCCGGGAGTGGCTGTTAGGTCTGCCGCATGTCGCAGTTGAACTGTTTCCTAATGAGCCTGTTATTGACTGCTCGAAAAGGGCCTACCTTGCGGCCTCTAGGGGCCCGATGCCTAACAGATGGGCCTCTGCCCAGCCATGGTAAGGCAGTATGGATGTTCAAGGACAAGCCCAATACTATGGCGGATAGGAGGATACGACCTTCAACGCTCAAAAACCGGTCTACGAGGAAAAAGTGAGCAGTAGACTCTCCCATGGCTGAGGCAGTGGCATCGATTGAGCGCCCCTCAGTTGGCCCTACTACAGCACGAAGTACTTCTCGAAGACGTATTATCAGACGGACTTTAATAACCCGACACTGGACAAGTCCAATACGAAAGTCCATATTGTATACGAGCCCTTCGCTGGTGAGTTGGATGGGGCCTGTGGCATCGCGTGGTATTGGTCCATGCTAGAAACTGATGTCTACATTACTCTGCGGAATGCCCTTCAACGAGCCTTCCCTGGTATCACTGTAACAGGTGGGGCCTACCCATGGGCTGGTTATTCCTAGCTTTGTGGGCTCAGGAGAAGGCTTCTCGACGGCCTCCGATAAGGGCTGGTTTAAGGTCTATCGCATGAACGACAAGAGGGTTCTATTCTGTGCTCAGCCGCAGTCTCTGACCCCGGACAAAGTGAGCTATTCAACTGACTGGAGAGTACCCTATCAACAATATGCAGGCTAAGGAGATGGGCAGGACCTACGACCGGGACTCCCCTGTCATTGCTGGCTTACAGCCAGGTACCAGTGTGTATGATCAGTCACAGCGTCTATGCCCTTGCTTAGATGACCTGTTGACGGACATGAGGGCCTTCCGGAGGCTCTTGATGGCAGTGGGGGAGTGGTGATGGAAGGCCTGGCTCAGCATGAGGACGTTTCTGGCCCGATGTCGGTGTTGTGTTGGAGGGCTCGGAATTATTATGT